GAGGTACGTTGAAAGTGACACGTGGGCACAAATGGTCAAAAAGCGACAATTTCTCACCTTTCTGCCCGTTCGAAGCTCAAGAACTGACCATCGCTACCCTGGTCTTGTTGTTGAGCTGGACATAGGGAAGTGCACAAAGAAAAAATGACACATTTCAATAAACAACTTGCCCAGGGCTGCTGAAAGCTGAAATCAAGCTATCTCGAAGTTTTGGGCCTTTTTGCCCGTGATTCTTTACTTTGCAACTAAACTATTCACAGCAGTGCCAAAATGTTGGCGTCACTGAATGCGGGTGCCAGCGGCCTACACGCTAACCAAAAATCAAATCAATGCGACTATTTACATCACAGCTAGGTCATGTTATAGAGAGGTACGTTGAAAATGACACGTGGGCACAAATGGTCAAAAAGCGACACTTTCTCTCCTTTCTGCCCGTTCGAAGCTCAAGAACTGGCCATCGCCACCCTGATCTTGTTGTCTAGCTGGACATAGGGAAGTGCACGAAGAAAAAATGCCACATTTCAATAGACAACTTGCCCAGCGCTGCTGAAAGCTGAAATCAAGCTATCTCGAAGTTTTGGGCCTTTTTGCCCGTGATTCTTCACTTTGCGACTAAAGGATTCGCAGCAGTGCCAAAATTTTGGCGTCACTGAATACGGGTGCCAGCGGCCTACAAGCAATCCAAAAATCAAATCAATGCGACCACTCACGTCACAGCTGGGTCATGTTACAGATAGGTACGTTGAAAGTGACACGTGGGCACAAATGGTCAAACAGCGACAATTTCTCACCTTTCTGCCCGTTCGAAGCTGAAGAACTGACCATCGCCACCCTGATCTTGTTGTTTAGCTGGACATAGGGAAGTACGCGAAGAAAAAATGCCACATTTCAATAAAAAACTTGCCCAGGGATGCTCAAAGCTGAAATCAAGCTATCTCGAAGTTTTGGGCCTTTTTGCCCGTGATTCTTCACTTTGCGGCTAAACTATTCACAGCAGTGCCAAAATTTTGGCGTCATTGAATACGGGTGCCAGCGGCCTACAAGCAAACCAAAAATCAAATCAATGCGACCACGCACGTCACAGCTGGGTCATGTTATAGAGAGGTACGTAGAAAGTGACACGTGGCACAAATGGTCAAAAAGCGACAATTTCTCACCTTTAAGCCCGTTCGAAGCTCAAGAACTGACCATCGCCACCCTGATCTTGTTGTTTAGGTGGACATAGGGAAGTGCACGAAGAACAAATGCCACATTTCAATAAACAACTTGCCCAGGGCTGCTCAAAGCTGAAATCAAGCTATCTCGAAGTTTTGGGCCTTTTTGCCCGTGAATCTTCACTTTGCGGCTAAACTATTCACAGCAGTGCCAACATTTAGTCGTCACTGAACACGGGTGCCAGCGGCCTACAAGCAAACCAAAAATGAAATCAATGCGACCACTCACATCACAGCTGGGTCATGTTATAGAGAGGTACGTTGAAAGTGACACGTGGGCACAAATGGTCAAAAAGCGACAATTTCTCACCTTTCTGCCCGTTCGAAGCTCAAGAACTGACCATCGCTACCCTGGTCTTGTTGTTGAGCTGGACATAGGGAAGTGCACAAAGAAAAAATGACACATTTCAATAAACAACTTGCCCAGGGCTGCTGAAAGCTGAAATCAAGCTATCTCGAAGTTTTGGGCCTTTTTGCCCGTGATTCTTTACTTTGCAACTAAACTATTCACAGCAGTGCCAAAATGTTGGCGTCACTGAATGCGGGTGCCAGCGGCCTACACGCTAACCAAAAATCAAATCAATGCGACTATTTACATCACAGCTAGGTCATGTTATAGAGAGGTACGTTGAAAGTGACACGTGGGCACAAATGGTCAAAAAGCGACACTTTCTCTCCTTTCTGCCCGTTCGAAGCTCAAGAACTGGCCATCGCCACCCTGATCTTGTTGTCTAGCTGGACATAGGGAAGTGCACGAAGAAAAAATGCCACATTTCAATAGACAACTTGCCCAGCGCTGCTGAAAGCTGAAATCAAGCTATCTTGAAGTTTTGGGCCTTTTTGCCCGTGATTCTTCACTTTGCGACTAAACGATTCACAGCGGTGCCAAAATTTTGACGTCACTGAATACGGGTGCCACCGGCCTACGAGCAAACCAAAAATCAAATCTATGCGACCACTCACGTCACAGCTGGGTCATGTTATAGAGAGGTACGTTGAAAGTGACACGTGGGCACAAATGGTCAAAAAGCGACAATATCTCACCTTTCTGCCCGTTCGAAGCTCAAGAATTGACCATCGCCACCCTGATCTTGTTGTTTAGCTGGACATAGGGAAGTGCACGAAGATAAAATGCCACATTTCCATCAAGAACTTGCCCAGGGCTGCTCAAAGCTGAAATCAAGCTATCTCGAAGTTTTGGGACTTTTTGCCCGTGATTCTTCACTTTGCGACTAAACGATTCACAGCAGCGCCAAAATGTTGGCGTCACTGAATACGGGTTCCAGCGGCCTACAAGCAAACCAAAAATCAAATCAATACGACCACTCACGTCTCAGCTGGGTCATGTTATAGAGAGGTACGTTGAAAGTGACACGTGGGCACAAATGGTCAAAAACCGACAATTTCTCACCTTACTGCCCGTTCGAAGCTCAAGAACTGACAATCGCCACCCTGATCTTGTTGTTTAGCTGGACATAGGGAATTTCACGAAGAAAAAATGCCACATTTCAATAAACAACTTGCCCAGGGCTACTGAAAGCTGAAATCAAGCTATCTCGAAATTTTGGGCCCTTTTGCCCGTGATTCTTCACTTTTAGACTAAACTATTCACAGCAGTGCCAACATTTTGGTGTCACTGAATACGGGTGCCAGCGGCCTCCAAGCAAACCAAAAATGAAATCAATGCGACCACTCACGTCACAGCTGGGTCATGTTATAGAGAGGTACGTTGAAAGTGACACGTGGGCACAAATGGTCAAAAAGCTACACTTTCTCACCTTTCTGCCCTTTCGAAGCTCAAGAACTGGCCATCGCCACCCTGATCTTGTTGTCTAGCTGGACATAGGGAAGTGCACGAAGAAAAAATGCCACATTTCAATAGACAACTTGCCCAGCGCTGCTGAAAGCTGAAATCAAGCTATCTTGAAGTTTTGGGCCTTTTTGCCCGTGATTCTTCACTTTGCGACTAAACGATTCACAGCGGTGCCAAAATTTTGACGTCACTGAATACGGGTGCCACCGGCCTACGAGCAAACCAAAAATCAAATCTATGCGACCACTCACGTCACAGCTGGGTCATGTTATAGAGAGGTACGTTGAAAGTGACACGTGGGCACAAATGGTCAAAAAGCGACAATATCTCACCTTTCTGCCCGTTCGAAGCTCAAGAATTGACCATCGACACCCTGATCTTGTTGTTTAGCTGGACATAGGGAAGTGCACGAAGATAAAATGCCACATTTCCATCAAGAACTTGCCCAGGGCTGCTCAAAGCTGAAATCAAGCTATCTCGAAGTTTTGGGACTTTTTGCCCGTGATTCTTCACTTTGCGACTAAACGATTCACAGCAGCGCCAAAATGTTGGCGTCACTGAATACGGGTTCCAGCGGCCTACAAGCAAACCAAAAATGAAATCAATGCGACCACTCACGTCTCAGCTGGGTCATGTTATAGAGAGGTACGTTGAAAGTGACACGTGGGCACAAATGGTCAAAAACCGACAATTTCTCACCTTACTGCCCGTTCGAAGCTCAAGAACTGACAATCGCCACCCTGATCTTGTTGTTTAGCTGGACATAGGGAATTTCACGAAGAAAAAATGCCACATTTCAATAAACAACTTGCCCAGGGCTACTGAAAGCTGAAATCAAGCTATCTCGAAATTTTGGGCCCTTTTGCCCGTGATTCTTCACTTTTAGACTAAACTATTCACAGCAGTGCCAACATTTTGGTGTCACTGAATACGGGTGCCAGCGGCCTCCAAGCAAACCAAAAATGAAATCAATGCGACCACTCACGTCACAGCTGGGTCATGTTATAGAGAGGTACGTTGAAAGTGACACGTGGGCACAAATGGTCAAAAAGCTACACTTTCTCACCTTTCTGCCCTTTCGAAGCTCAAGAACTGGCCATCGCCACCCTGATCTTGTTGTCTAGCTGGACATAGGGAAGTGCACGAAGAAAAAATGCCACATTTCAATAGACAACTTGCCCAGCGCTGCTGAAAGCTGAAATCAAGCTATCTCGAAGTTTTGGGACTTTTTGCCCGTGATTCTTCACTTTGCGACTAAACGATTAACAGCAGTGCCAAAATTTTGGCGTCACTGGATACGGGTGCCAGCGGCCTACAAGCAAACCAAAAATCAAATCAATGCGACCACTCACGTCACAGCTGGGTTATGTTATAGAGAGGTACGTTGAAAGTGACACGTGGGCACAAATGGTCAAAAAGCGACAATTTCTCACCTTTCTGCCCGTTTGAAGCTCAAGAACTGACCATCGCTGTATGGTCCCTGCCTAGACCATACAATGATCTAATCATGCAGTTTATACACACACGTAACTGGCTCACTCTGACTTGCTCTGAAGCTCGGAATGTAATTATCTTCAACCAGACTCAGCTGCAGCAAGAGAAGACTGCCTCCGAACATCCCAAAACCAACCTCACACGAGCATGCATCTCTAGTGCGCATGCTCGTGAGAAGTCATAATAATATGACTTGACTGAGGGACACAACAATTCCCCCACCACTAGAAAAAGACGAACATGGAAAACAGTAATAAGAGTGGTTCAAATACGTATGGATGGCTACTATGCGAGTGTCTGATCTGCAACCAATTATGTCATCATTCGCTATAGAATTATAACCGATACCCATGGCTGACATAGTAACTATTCATGTATTTATGACGGCTAATACCTATAATTATTTGAACTATTTACAGAAACAAGGTTTGTATACACATTATAATACAGTTCATGACCACTGCAGTAACTGGAAACCACTACTTGGCTTGAGTGCGGTACCGTTCAGGTATGACAACCTGGCGGCCGGACCGGGTCGTACTAGTGTTCTGACCAGGTGTCGATGGTGTCGGCATTCTAGACTCAGACTCACTATCCGTAGGTATTGTCATGGTTGTTGGTGTAGGGCTGACTGTTGACTGACTTGACGGTTGTTTCTCAGCGGTAGTAGGACTTGAACTTGAAACTGTACCGGTAGAAGAAACACTGGGACCAGTATCAGCGGATGACGATGGAGCCTGATGCGTCGATTTAGGGGGAGCTTCAGCCACATCCTCCCTCACAAACTCAGACAAAGGAACTGAACGTGCTCTCAACTGGTTGCGATGACGCTTCCACAAAGCATCCTGAACTTGAACTTGGTAGTTGACTGGACTGATGACTGACACGATGCGACCTGGGACCCACTTTGAACCATAAGAGCCAAAATTTAGAGTGAACACAGCGTCGCCTGGTTGGAATTCTGGGGTCTTGTTCATGTTGCGTTCGTAAGAGTCAACAGACGGTTTGGCGGTCTGTTTTAGCGTGTCAAAACGGGTACATGGTTGACGCATCATAAGCATCTCAGCTGGTGACTTGTTGTTTGCTGAAGGGGTTGTACGATGTGACAGGAGGAAGCGTTGTAGCGTAGCGTGTAGGTCACCCTGCGTACCCATGGCTTTCAATTTTGACTTGAAAACCCCAACATAGCGTTCTGCTAACCCGTTGGTTGCCGGATGTCCAGGAGCGGAACAAGTGTGTCGAATGCCATTCTTGTGTAGGAATGATTGAAATTCTTCACTCGTGAATTGTGAGCCGTTGTCCGATACGATGTGATGTGGTAGGCCAAACAAAGCGAAGACACGGCGTAAAGCAGCGATAGTAGTAGCGGACGTTGCACGGTCCATAGGAACAATATCCAGAAATCGAGAATATGAATCAACAATGACAAGAAACATCTTGCCCATGAAAGGACCGGCGTAATCAATATGTAAGCGTTGCCAAGGTCCCGTCGGCCATGACCAGCTACCAAACTCCTTCGCTGGCAGGCGTGCTTCAGCTTGGCATTCCGGACACTGAGCGCAAACCTGCTCCAAATCTCTGTCGATACGAGGCCACCACATGTAGCGACGTGCCAAGCGTTTCATACGAACTACACCTGTGTGTTCATAGTGAAGATCGTTCAGCAAGAACTCACGTAATGATTCTGGAACAATGACACGATCGTTCCAAAGAAGGATATTGTCAGACACAGACAACTCCCAGCGCTTCGCAAAGTACGGCTGTAGAGTTTGATCAATGGTTTCCGGCCACCCATTCAGTACATGGTGCCAAACTGTCTTCAGTATAGGATCCCGTTGCGTTTCGGTAGCAACTGTGTCCGCATTAATGACTTCGCTTTCAATGAATAGTACCTGTTCATCAGCTACCTCGTCGGAGCAGGGAGCGCCAGGACCAGGTTGGCGCGACATGAAATCAGCGAATGGGTTTTGGCGCCCTGGGATGTGCTTGATAGAGTAGTCGTATGCCGCTAGGGCCAACTTCCATTTCTTGAGTCTCGGTGACACCAAGTACGGAACGCCGTCTGTACACCCAAGCAGTTTAACAAGCGGCTGGTGGTCTGTTTCGAAAATGAACTTGCGACCGAGAAGGTACTGGCGGAAAGTAGTAGCTCCGAACACCACGGCAAGCGCCTCTCGCTCGATGTTAGAGTACTTCCTCCGCGTCATCGAAATTTTCGCAGTTTGACTTTTGACATAAAACGGGGTATTTACTCACCAGCACTCGTATCAGAGGCAAGGAATCGGACATAGGCGATAGTCATCAGTATAGGGTGACGGCAAAGTTCTATTTCCTGTTATTGGCATCTGAAATTTTTGAACTAGACGCAATTTCTTCGCTGATGTCGCTGCGATGGTAATTTCAACTCGCTGAGATCAGTCAGGCGTTGCAGGCTGCACATTTCTCGTGCTTATGGCCATTCACTCGAGCCTCATCACTGTTTTACCTTAGCTGGGGTGAGAATGACTTCGTGGAACAAGTAGCAGCGCTCGGAGAAACATCGAGGGGTCAGCAAGCTAAATGCATGCAACGGCGATAAAATTTGTTCCTCTGGCTGAGACACTCAGTACATGATTTTACCTGCAAGAGCCGTGTACTACGGTGTAGACTCTACACGAAGTGCTAGTGACGATGCACGCGCAGCTGCCGTACCAGTGATGCTGAAAAAGAGGGCGCGCTGGATGATAATACACTTACCTGCATGAGCTGTGACCACACAGGTAAAATAAATGGGCATGCCACGGCTAAAAAAAGTTCATTTTCAAGATCGAGGTGGTTCCGCCGACGGTAATCAACCGACCTCGCAACGATCGTTTATTCTTACTAGGCTTCGTTGGGGGTGAAGTAGAAATCATCCAGAGCTAGCAGACGACAAGCATAGCAGCTCTTGTCCTGTAGAGAAAGTCAAAGCGTCTGAGATGAGGCGCGACCAACTTTCAACCTTCCTTGAAATATTTCGGAACGATATTTTTGCGTCCATTGACATCAGCGACGACGAGGACTTCATCTCTGCATGAAAACTCTCAGGCCAACTGTCCTGGAACGTTACTCTAGTCTTCAGACTATCATACTGTGTAATAAGTTTTGAATGGTTTAGCTTATGGAATTGTCAGTAACAAGTGGCAAGTCACTAGTCAAACTGCGACAATTTCGATGACGCGGAGGAAGTAGTTCTTTTCCGCCTTGGTCAAAACACGCGAGGCATATGCAATGGGACGGAAATGACCAGGTCGCTCTTCTTGCAATAGCACCGCTCCTAGACCTACGCCTGAGGCGTCAACTTGGACCTTGATGTCCTTCGTAGTGGAGTAGAAAGCCAACGTTTCAGTGGCGCAGAGTGCACATCTGATTGCGTCAAACGCGTTGCTCTCACTAGACTCCCACTTCCACACAGCATCTTTTTTGAGTAAGGCGTACAACGGTGCCATGATGGTGGCAAAATTCGGAATGAATGCTCTGACGTAGTTCGCAGAACCGATGAACGATTGCAGTTCACTCACAGTAGTTGGAGGTTTTGCGTCTTTCATGGCTGTAGTGCGCTCGGCTGATGGCGATACACCCTCCGCTGAGAATGTGTGCCCCAAGTAGGAGATGCTGTCAAGCATGACTTCAAACTTCTCGAGTTTTAGTTTCATGCCGACGTCTTGCAGGCGCTGGAGAACTTTCACAAGGTTCGCTCGATGCTCGTCAGGTGTTTTGCCCGTAACCACAATGTCATCGATGTATACAATGCATCCATCGATGCCAGCCAGCACAGTCTCCATGGTGCGCTGAAAAATGGCAACAGCCGAGTGTACACCGAACGGTAAGCGCACATATTCAAACAAACCACGGTGAGTATTGATAGTGGTGTACTTTCGGCATGATTCATCGAGCTCGAGCTGGTGATACGCCTGCTTGATATCGATTTTGGTGAATTTCGTACCGCCTGACAATTTAGCGCGGATCTCAGCGATTGTAGGTAGCGGATAGCTTTCCAGCGGTGAATGTGCATTCAGAGTGCGCGAGTAATCCGCACAAATGCGAATCGAGCCATCCGGCTTTTTGACCGGAACAGTTGGCGTTGCCCATTGTGAATATTCAACTTTCTCGAGAATGCCATCGCGCTCGAGTTGATCAAGAGCCTCATCGTATTTCTCAGTAATTGCAAATGGGACTTTGCGAGGCTTGAGGAAAACCGGGTGTGCTTCGTCAACACGCAGGTTGACCTTCATTGTGTTTAGTTTGCCCATTGAGGTAGAATCAAACAGATCTGGAAATTGGGCCATAATTTCCTCACGCAGTTGAATTTGTGCCACGGTTTCATCAATTCTAGTTTTGACAGAGAAGATTTCATTCCATGGCAATTGAAACAGTTGTAGCATGTCCCTTCCCAAAAGGGATGGTCCCGAGACATCTACAACTCTGAGCTTAACGGGCGCTGTCGTACCATTCAAGGTGACATTCATTTCAAGCTCGCCCAGGCAGGTAATAGGCTTATCAGAGAAACCCCTCAACAGTATGGTGGATTTAGGTAAGGTAGACAGAACCCCACCCAGCTTCTCGAAATCCCGTTTATTTAGTATGGACACACCACTGCCAGTATCAACTTCCATGCGAATAGGGATGGGTACCTCATTGATTACAACATCCACAGCAAACGGGGGTACGCTGCCTGTAGTATCACGTACAGTATACATTGGAACGCTCTCACCTGCGTCTTCACAGTCAGAGTCGGAGGTAGAAAGATCCTCACCCATGACATGGTGACAGTCACGCTTGTCTCTCTGCAGTTTAGTACGACAAACCTTCTCCAGATGCCCCCGTTTGTGGCAGTACCGGCACTCGGCGTCCTTATGTCGACACTTGTTTGCCAGGTGCATATCCGACCCGCAGCGAAAACAACGCTTTCCGGACGCCATCGGCTGCTTGGTGGATCGACGTTCCTTCGTCATGTGTACGGGAATGTCCGTGGGAGACCCGATCGACGCAGAAGCAGCAGAGGGTGCAGTGAATTGTTTTGAGTAGGAAATGGCCAGTTCCTCCTTGCTAGCCAGGTCGATGACTTTCTCAAACGTGTCAATATCGGACTCCTTGGAGAGTAACAATTTCCGTCGTATCGTCGAGCTTGCCATGCCCGAAATAAACTGGTCCGTGAGGGCTCGGTCACGATGGGAGCCAAATTGACAATCGACAGCAGCACGCTTGAGTTTATTAGCAAAATCGACTGTAGTTTCACCCGGAGCTTGGGAGACTTGGCGAAACTGAAAAGCGGCGGTGGTTGGGGTAGTGTTCTTTTTGTAGTATTTCTCCAGTACAGCACAAAGCTCGTCATACTTCTTTGACGCGATCTCGTCAGGTAGGATCAGGGATTTCAAGGTTGAGTAGACCGTCTTAGAGAGCAGGGAAATTAGATGCGCTGTCATTCTCTTCTCCGCTGCTCTCTTTTCACCAGAAGAGGCATTGGACGCCACGACACCAATACTATTGGCACAGAAGAAAAATTCAACGCGTTCGCGAAAGTCTTTGAAATCACCCCCGTCGAAAGGCTCGATGGTGGCGGCGTAGGGCAAGTAAGTATTCGTCGCCATTTGTATGGTCCCTGCCTAGACCATACAATGATCTAATCATGCAGTTTATACACACACGTAACTGGCTCACTCTGACTTGCTCTGAAGCTCGGAATGTAATTATCTTCAACCAGACTCAGCTGCAGCAAGAGAAGACTGCCTCCGAACATCCCAAAACCAACTTCACACGAGCATGCATCTCTAGTGCGCATGCTCGTGAGAAGTCATAATAATATGACTTGACTGAGGGACACAACAATCGCCACCCTGATCTTGTTGTCTAGCTGGACATAGGGAAGTGCACGAAGAAAAAATGCCACATTTCATTAGACAACTTGCCCAGGGCTGCTGAAAGCTGAAATCAAGCTATCTCGAAGTTTTGGGCCTTTTTGCCGGTGATTCTTCACTTTGCGGCTAAACTATTGACAGCAGTGCCAACATTTTGGCGTCACTGAATACGGGTGCCAGCGGCCTACAACCAAACCAAAAATGAAATCAATGCGACCACTCACATCACAGCTCGGTCATGTTATAGAGAGGTACGTTGAAAGTGACACGTGGGCACAAATGGTCAAAAAGCGACAATTTCTAACCTTTCTGCCCGTTCGAAGCTCAAGAACTGACCATCGCTACCCTGGTCTTGTTGTTGAGCTGGACATAGGGAAGTGCACAAAGAAAAAATGACACATTTCAATAAACAACTTGCCCAGGGCTGCTGAAAGCTGAAATCAAGCTATCTCGAAGTTTTGGGCCTTTTTGCCCGTGATTCTTCACTTTGCGACTAAACTATTCACAGCAGTGCCAACATTTTGGTGTCACTGAATACGGGTGCCAGCGGCCTACAAGCAAATCAAAAATCAAATCAATGCGACCACTCACCTCACAGCTGGGTCATGTTATAGAGAGGTACGTTGAAAGTGACACATGGGCACAAATGGTCAAAAAGCGACAATTTCTCACCTTTCTGCCCGTTCGAAGCTCAAGAACTGACCATCGCCACCCTGATCTTGTTGTCTAGCTGGACATAGGGAAGTGCACGAAGAAAAAATGCCACATTTCATTAAACAACTTGCCCAGGGCTGCTGAAAGCTGAAATCAAGCTATCTCGAAGTTTCGGGCCTTTTTGCCGGTGATTCTTCACTTTGCGGCTAAACTATTGACAGCAGTGCCAAAATGTTGGCGTCACTGAATACGGGTGCCAGCGTCCTACAAGCAAACCAAAAATCAATTTAATGCGACTACTCACGTCACAACTGGGTCATGTTATAGAGAGGTACGTTGAAAGTGACACGTGGACACAAATGGTCAAAAAGCGACAATTCCTCACCTTTCTGCCCGTTCGAAGCTCAAGAACTGACCATCGCCACCCTGATCTTGTTGTTTAGCTGGACAGAGGGAAATGCACGAAGAAAAAATGCCACATTTCAATAACCAACTTGCCCAGGGCTGCTCAAAGCTGAAATCAAGCTCTCTCGAAGTTTTGGGCCTTTTTGCCCGTGATTCTTCACTTTGCGACTAAACTATTCACAGCAGTGCCAACATTTTGGCGTCACTGAATACGGGTGCCAGCGGCCTACAAGCAAACCAAAAGTCAAATCAATGTGGTCACTCACATCACA